CATTCTGTAACTCAGGCAGACCTTGAACTTGAACTTCTGCTGCCTCAGCCTCTGAAGCAGCTGGGGTGACAGGCCTGCAGCACTAGGTCTGACTGCATTTCCCTTTTAGGAGCTTCCTGTTTGACTTAGTGATAGACATACCACCTAGGAATACTTTCTGGAGGAGGTCAACATTGGCTCTGAGCCTCAGAGGATGAGTTGCAATGACCTGCTAGTGCTGTAGTGTGGCTTGAGGCTGCAGACCCAAGGGGCCATGGTGCAGAGGCAGATAGTCTGTCATGTGGGCAGAAGGGTGTCACAGACAGCATTGTGAATTTGTTCTCCAGGGAACTAAAGAGGGGCTGGAGAGGTGGCTAAGGGGTTAAGAGTTCTTGCTGCTCTTACAGAGGACCCAGGTTCAGTTCCCAGCACCCACATGGCAGTTCTCAACCACTTGTACCTCCAATTCTAGGGGATCAGAAGAGCAGGAAAGAATACTGAGGAGAAACGCTTTCACCCATGACTGGGGGCTCTATTTATTAGTATGGAAGGCATGAAACTCAACCACAGGAGAACAAGTGTCAGGGAGAGATGAGTTTCCCATGTCCTGGTACCTAGCAGTGGGGATAAAGAGACACAGTTACAGGAGATGTTTCCAAAGTCAAGTATGGGATGTGGTAAGAGAGGGTTCTGACTCATCTGTGCATCCTGGAAGGATGGTGGTGGTGGCTTCTCTCTGGCGTAGACAGCAGAGGGGAAGTGGGTGGATGACCCCTGGGCTCAGTCATTTCTCCTTTTGTGTTTAGAATGGAAGCCTCCGAATTTAGAGTCTTGCAGTTGAATTTTGTAATCACATTTAGAATTCCCATTCATTTGTAATAATCCCAGGAAAGGAAAGAATACTTTTATTTCTAATTTGGCAACTCATGAAGACTCTTAAAAAAATTCTTGCTTGTGTTTGCACACTTTTTCGGTGGCGTTTATAGAAGCTGGTAATTATTCCCATGAAGAAATTTGTTCCCTTGCAGCACATGGCTGCCACCGAGGTGCCACCATGATACGAATTCCTGTGTAATTTAGGTCTCTATGAAGGTTTTTAAAAAGCTAATTACTAAAGCAAGAATAGAGAATATCTTCATTAATTCATTCCTAAATTCTTGAATGTCGTATGATCCCTAATACAGCCTGCTCACTGTTACCTTTGGATTCTATATCCATGGGAAAAATTTTCCATCAGTACTGAATGAGGGAAGGCTTTCTTCTCCTGTCATTAACCGTCAACAAAATCATATAACAACTCTTGACATAACACTGTGTAATCTTCAGATGCTGTAAGTCATTTAGAGGTGACTTCACGTATGAGGGAAGGTGCTGTTTGTTCTCTATTTAGACCTCGCCATTCCATAGAGAGAATTTGAATAACTATTGGTTAAATCCAGGGATTTAAGAGGATCAGTACCATCCTATGCCCAGTCCCCTATAGATATGGAGTGTGACATTCTCTGTCATGGAATACTGGTGAAGCTCACTTTTATTGTGCTAACCAATCTGTTAAAGTCCTGGGTTCATTTTTGATAGCAGAAAGCAATTTAAAAAGGGTGAGATGAGCCGCCAGAGCTACCATGGAAATTTTCTCTATGTCAGTCCTATTGCTAATCAATGCCTCAGATCAGATTAGTTCTAGACAGCAAACCTTTTACACAGTGAAGCTAAGTCATTATGGTATCTTCTCACTAAGAATTCATTTTAATGTCAATGCCATGTGTCAGGTGTTTGGATACATCAAGAACAGAAAGGCCTGGACTCCCTGCCTCTTTGGTAGTGCAGAAAGATAGACAGTCAGTCAATACATGAAGATTTTTGTCTGGCTGGGTATGGAGACTGAGTCAGAAGGATCCTGAGTTCTAGGCTAGCCTGGGCTGCATCGTGAGTTCAAGGCCAACCTGGGCTGCCTAGCAAGACTGTCTCAACAGTCCCTTCCCTTCAAAAGAGATCTAATCTATTACCAGGTGGCTGTATGGACAACTTAAAAAAAGACATATTGGAGAGTAGGGTGGGTGGGGGGAGATTACTATATTAGGAAGGTGAGTGGGGTAAACTGCATGGAAATAGAGACTTAAGTAAGTACTGCTAGGAATCCAGTGAGCATGCTCATGGGCCTCAGGAGCTGGCAGGGCAGAGGTGTATGAGAGCTGAGATGGAAGCTATGCCAAGGAGAACAGGGAGTGCAGACCATGTCAGCCTTTGCCACTGAGCTTTGATGATAACTGGGCCCTAGAGATCCCAGCAGTTTCCCAGGAGAGGTGGTCAGACTTTCTCCTACTCCCCTTGTCCCCCAGCTGTGTCTGACACTGGACATTCTTCCAACCTGATCTCCTGTCCTGTTTCAGGTCAGAGATGACAATAAGAGGCAGCACCCATGTCTGGTGGAGTTCTCCAAGCTGCCGGAACAGGAACGCAACTACAATTTGCAGATGTCGCTTGAAACGCTCAAGTGAGTTCCTTCAATCTGTGTAAACTTCAGGTAGCCAGACACTGATGTTCTCTGCTTACCATTCCATGATTTAGGGTGGATTGGGTCAATGTTCATGGGGAATTTGACTTTGACCCTATTATTTTGTGTCTTGCTATACACTGGTTATTTCCCAAAGGGTACTGGATAGTTGCTGAAGGGAATTACTAAATATGAGGGTTCTGGGGATCTGGTAACACTACTTGGAGTGTGAACCAGAGACCAGGCTAGTCACAAATCTTTACTGGTCTGTGATAATTGTAGATATGAAGAATGAACTTGAAGAAACAGATCAGTTTAAGAAATTCCTATAA